TTTCTGAAGCGTTGTTCTGCAAACGCCAGACGTTGAGGTTGCGTGATCTTTGTGGTCAATCACAGCATGACTGGCAGTTCTGCGGTCGTTTTTGTCTTACTCGGCGAAGATATTTGCATTTAATTGCAAGTGTTTCAAAGTGCATGACTGCCGTTGTTTTATATAATACATACATGTGCTGTTAAAAAGGTGTGTTTTACCAATATGAGCGTATTTCTGAGGTATTCGCTGACCCGATGGTGCGTTAAAGGGGTACTTCCGGCGGCTCTGCTGAAAAGTATCTTTTTGTTAGTACCATATAGAGAGTGGTTTTGACAGAAACCTATACGACACTAATTTAAGTACGAAGTGGGGGTGAATCAACACTGAATTTACACCCCAGGGTGTAAAATAACCGCCATAGCCTGATATCCTAGATTCCTAGGGTGTAGCGAGGGTGTCTGAAAAGTGTGCATATGGAGGCAGGCTAGAAAAACAGCCTATGTGGTGTTCTTTTTTTTAGCACGATACAGGTAAGGTAGTGGTTTTGACATCGAAAAGGTTAACTAAGGTCATCTAAGGTAAATGACCTCGACCTAACCTAATCAGGGGTGTAATTTCCCTAAAATGATTGTGGGTGCCCAGCTGTAGCCTTTCTCATAAACATTTGCAAAGTGGATAAAAATCATATACCTTCTCGATATTCACAATGTTTTGACGCCAAAACATTTTTTTTAAATCAGCAAATATAAAACATGCAGCCACCAGCCCACCGTTGCCCAACTGAGCTTGGGATTTTTTTGTGCAGTTAACAATGAAGGCTTCAGCTTTACGTTAAGAGCATTATTTTCCAGGTTGCATTCTTCGTTTCGCCATTAGAGGGGGTGGGGCGTCTTTTCCACCCTGGGCATCTTACCCCACTCTCCCCTACGGCATTTTCATGGCACTGAATTGTTGCCGATACTTCTACAATACGGCTTTTCCACGATGCGGCTTTATTCGTGAAAAATATCACAAAACACAAGATCACTTCAAAGAAGAAACACTTTTTTCATCTTGACTAAATACGAATAGAAACTGTAACTTGAAACCATTTTGACTGAATTTATTGTTTCTTCAATCTGATCTCGACGGCATCTTAAATTTTGTTAATGGACAGATATAGCGGCTATTAATAATCAAAACGCGTTTTTGCCTCTCCAGTCTCCTGATCATTTTTGTTTTTGAAAAAAACTGACCCAGATACGGTTTTTTTCCCTCCGGACGGCAGCTGACTGGCCGGCACAGCAGTGACATACGGTGGACACTGGACGTCGCTGGATTCACAGCACCTGTGCCAGATGCGACGAGAAAACCACATCACACACACACACGCGCGCACGCGCACACGCACCCGCACACGCACACACATACAGAGACTAGAAGCCATATCGGACAGAAAGACTGTCCTAAGGCTACGATATCGGTGGGCGCATTGTCGGCACACACACACGCACACGCACACTACAGCAATGCCGAGGCCAGCTGCGTCCGGGCTCGGAGGGAGGGAGAAGCTCCAGACTAGAAGCCATATCGGACAGAAAGACTGTTCTAAGGCTACGATATCGGTGGGCGCCGATTGTCGGCCGGCCCCGAGCGCGGGCCTGCAGTGTCACCGAGCTGCGGCCGCTCAGAGGCTGGCAGCGCCGGCTCGGCGTTCAGAGCGCTCACTGGAGGCGACCCTCTTCAGAGCGCGGTGGCTGGCGCGCGCGGCGCGGGCCAGCCGAGCCAGACAGAGCAGCGCGCCGGACACGCTGACCGCCGCGCCGGCCACCAGAAAAGTCAGCTCGTAGGTGGCCGTCAGGTCATGCAGCAGGCCTGCCGGTGACCGGTGGTGACAGGCGGCACAGACAACGACCAACAACGCCCACACACAACTGAGCGCCACTACCGTCAACAACATCGCAATCCAAGTGCGCTTTCGGTACACTTTGAAGATTCAAATCAACTTAAAAGTTGCCTGCAGTTTTAGCTGTAAATTCCGTTCATCTAAATACTGTAGACTTGAGAGCTAGAGTCCACTTCGGTTCGCATTACACTTATTGAAAAAGTGGTATTGGACGATGAAAAAGGCGCACCTCTCAAATCTCGAAAGTACCCAAAATCATTATTTTGAATGCAACTGTACAATCCAAATGCAAGGCGCATTGCGCTTTTCAATCACATCCAATGACAAAAAACGTAAATAAACCCATAAATTTCGGACCACAAAGTGTCTTCGTCTGTAGAAAATTAAATGAATAAAGCTTTTACATTGATGCAATATAAAACACAGCAACTAGACACCACGAAATTGTACACAAACGTAAAGAGGCTGTTACACAGAGGGGCTGTTGCAAAGAGGGGCTGTTACACAGAGGGGCTGTTACACAGAGGGGGTGATACACAGAAGGGCTGTTACACAGAGGGGCTGTTACACAGAGGGGCTGTTACACAGAGGGGCAGAGTCACAGAGGGGGTGTTACACAGAGGGGGTGTTATACAGAAGGGCTGTTACACAGAGGGGGTGATACACAGAAGGGCTGTTACACAGAGGGGCTGTTACACAGACGGGCAGAGTCACAGAGATGGTAATATTATTTAGCCATTGTGATGTCGGCTGTTGATGGGAGGGGAGGGATAGCGTTTCCTCTCGAGAGCGCCGAGTCAAGAGAACGTCTGTGACTCTGGATAATTCGCTGTGTTGTCGTTACATGATGAAGTGTTGCCGCTGGTAGCGACTGTATGATGATTTTTTTTTTGTTTTGTTTTGATTACTGAATCATGTGTGAGACAATAAAGCGATTTGAAGAAAAAAAGAGATGGTAATATTACACAGAGGGGGTGTTATACAGAGGGACCGTTACAAAGAGGGGCAAAGTCACAGAGGGGGTGATATCATACAGAGGGGCTGTTACACAGAGGAGCTGTTACACAGAGGGGGTGTTACACAGAGGTGCTGTTACACAGAGGGGCTGTTACACAGACGGGCAGAGTCAAAGAGGGGCTGTTATACAGAGGGACTGTTACACAGAGGGGCTGTTACACAGACGGGCAGAGTCACAGACGGGGTGATATTACACAGAGGGGGTATTACACAGAGGGACTGTTGCACAGAAGGGCAGAGTCACAGAGGGGGTGATATTACACAGAGGGGGTATTACACAGAGGGACTGTTACACAGAGGGGCAGAGTCACAGAGGGGGTGATATTACACAGAGGGGGTGTTACACAGAGGGGGTGTTATACAGATGGACTGCTACACAGACGGGCAGAGTCACAGAGGGCGTTATATTACACAGAGGGGTGTTATACGAAGGGAATGTTACATACACTGAGAAAATTTAAAAACGGGGTGGGGTGTTTTTGCAGTGTATGATGAGTGTCAGACACTTTTAAATGTGTACTGTGACACTTATTACAGTGTCATGAAGCCTGTCATACACGGTTAAAGGTTTAGACACCCTCAAAAACTCCCTTGGGTATGCAGAATAACCACTTACTCATGGGTAAGTGGTTATTCTGCATACCCAAGGGAGTTTTTGAGGGTGTCTAAACCTTTAACCGTTTATGACAGGCTTCATGACACTGTAATAAGTGTCACAGTACACATTAAAAAGTGTCTGACCACTGCAAAAACACCCCACCCCGTTTTTAAATTTTCTCAATGTAGAGGGGTTGGTACACAGAAGGGCTGTTACACAGACGAGCAGAGTCACAGAGGGGGTGATATTACACAGAGGGGGTGTTATACAGAGGGGATGTTACACAGAGAGACTGTTACAGAGAGGGGCTGTTACACAGACGGGAAGAGTCACAGAGGGGGTGATATTACACAGAGGGGCTGTTACACAGAGGGGCTGTTACACAGAGGGGCTATTAGACAGAGGGACTGTTACACAGAGGGCCAGAGTCACAGAGGGGGTGTTACACAGAGGGGGTGTTATACAGAGGGACTGTTACACAGGGGAACTGTTACACAGAGGGGCTGTTACACAGAGAGGCTGTTACACAGCCGGGCTGTTACGGACTGGGGACACAGAGGGGGTGTTACACAGAGGGGGTGTTACACAGAGGGGGTGTTACACAGAGGGGTGTTACACAGCGGGGCTGTTACAGAGAGGGGCTGTTACACAGACGGGCAGAGTCACAGAGGGGGTGTTACACAGAGGGGGTGTTACACAGCGGGGCTGTTACAGAGAGGGACTGTTACACAGATGGGGTGTAACACAGATGGGGTGTAACACAGACGGGGGTGTTACACAGAGGGGGTGTTACACAGAGGGGGTGTTACACAGAGGGGCTGTTACACAGACGGGCAGAGTCACAGAGGGGGTGATAGTACACAGAGGGGGTGCTATACAGAGGGACTGTTACACAGAGGGGCTGTTACACAGAGGGGCTGTTACACAGAGGGGCTGTTACACAGATGGGCTGTTACAAAGAGGGGGTGATATTACACAGAGGGGCTGTTACACAGACGGGCTGTTACAAAGAGGGGGTGATATAACACAGAGGGGGTGTTACACAGAGGGGGTGTTATACAGATGGACTGTTACACAGACGGGCAGAGTCAAAGAACGGGTGATATTACACAGAGGGGGTGTTACACAGAGGGGCAGAGTCAAAGAGGGGCTGTTACACAAAGGGGCGATAATACAGAGGGTCTGTTACACCGAGGGGCTGTTACACAGAGGGGCTGTTACACAGACGGTCAGAGTCAAAGAGGGGCTGTTATACAGACGGGCAGAGTCACAGAGGGGGTGATAGTACACAGAGGGGGTGTTACACAGACGGGCAGAGTCAAAGAGGGGCTGTTACACAGAAGGGCTGTTACACAGAGGGGCTGTTACACAGAGGGGCAGAGTCAAAGAGGGGCTGTTACACAGACGGGCAGAGTCAAAGAGGGGGTGATATTACACAGAGGGGCTGTTACACAGAGGGGCTGTTACACAGACGGGCAGAGTCAAAGAGGGGGTGATATTACACAGAGGGGCTGTTATACACAGAGGGGCTGTTACACAGACGGGCAGAGTCACTCAAAGAGGGGATGATATTACACAGAGGGGGTGTTACACAGAGGGGGTGTTACACAGAGGGGGTGTTACACAGAGGGGCTGTTACACAGAGGGGCTGTTATACAGACGGGCAGAGTCACAGAGGGGGTGATATTACACAGAGGGGCTGTTACACAGACGGGCAGAGTCACAGAGGGGGTGATAGTACACAGAGGGGGTGTTACACAGACGGGCAGAGTCAAAGAGGGGCTGTTACACAGAAGGGCTGTTACACAGAGGGGCTGTTACACAGACGGGCAGAGTCAAAGAGGGGCTGTTACACAGAGGGGCTGTTACACAGAGGGGCTGTTACACAGAGGGGCTGTTACACAGAGGGGCTGTTACACAGAGGGGCTGTTACACAGAGGGGCTGTTACACAGAGGGGCTGTTACACAGAGGGGCTGTTACACAGAGGGGCTGTTACACAGGGGGCTGTTACACAGACGGGCAGAGTCAAAGAGGGGGTGATATTACACAGAGTGGGTGTTATACAGAGGGGCTGTTACACAGAGGGGCTGTTATACAGACGGGCAGTCAAAGAGGGGGTGATATTACACAGAGAGGCTGTTACACAGACGGGCAGAGTCAAAGAGGGGCTGTTACACAGAGGGACTGTTACACAGAGCGGCTTTCACACAGACGGGCAGAGTCAAAGAGGGACTGTTACACAGAGGGGCGGTTGCACAGAGCGGCGGCTGCACTCACCACAGAGCGGCGGCCCCACCAGGTTGGCCAGCCCCTGTGCCAGCAACAGCAGGCCGTAGGCGCTGGTGAAGTTGTCGATGCTGATCAGGCTCACAAGTATGGTCGGCGCCAGCGTGTAATTGGCCGAAATGCAGAACCCGAATACCGATGACACCTGCGCCACCGGGGGGGGGGGGGGGGTCACAATGAAGGACTCTTGGAAAACTAAACTGCGGTCACCAGGTCTACAGCATATCCCGAAAGTTCGCCATACCGTTGCTCATGTCACAATAACGGGCGGATCCGGGGGGGGGACGCATAGGGGCCATGCCCCCCCCTTGGCGCTGAAAGGGGGGCAACACATCTTCTGGCATCTTCTTTCATCCGTGTTATTCCTCACAGTCGGCCAATTTTTCAGAATTATTTTCACCATTTTCATCGACGCTTAGGCCATCAACGTTTTTTGACATAAAATTACTTTAAAAACTACTTGGGTTAGTTGGTTAACCGTACTTTGGTTAGGTCAAGTCAAATGTCAAATGTCAGGTGACCAGAGGTCATCAAAGGTGAAATGTGGGTGAAATGTTGTCTGTTTCAACATTTATTGACAAACTGGCGCATAACTCGGGGAAGAATAGAACTACAGCACCGCGAAAAAAGCGCATTCTATAGCTCGTCAACGTTCCAAAGTCCTCAGACTTGACCTAACATCAACGGTTTAACCTCCAGAGCACAACTAGTTTAACCCGTGCCGGGCCGGGGAGGGTTGGAGTGGACAGTGGACCCCCCTCCGCCCCTCTATTGAGCTGTTTTAACCCGCGCCCGGCTGGGGGTCCTGGATTTCCACGCCCTGCAGGGGGGGTGTTTGAACACCCCCCCCCCTTTGTAACTCGGCTCCTGGGCCACGTAGCGATACGCGGAAGGCGGCGTTCGAAAGAGCGTAAAAAAAAATAATGACGAAATCACTTCGGTCAATTTTTTGGTCAGGTCAAAGGTCAGGTCACCAGAGGTCATTGAAGGCAAAATTTCGCCGATTTTCAGGTCGAATGTCGAAATTTTCCAAGAAGCCAACGCATAACTCGGGAACCGATAGAGCTACAGCGCCGCGGAAAAGCGCATTCCATAGCCCTATTAACGCCCTTTCTGAGTAATTCTCTCAGGTTTGACCTAACGTCAACGGTTTTGCCTGCAGGTGGCAAAAACTGCAAAAATAGCCGATTTTTTCGGAAACAGTTTTCTGCAATAACTTTTGACCCAAGCCTTGTACGAGCTTACTTTCTGTTTTTGAGATATTCGCGAAAAACCACAAGGGGGGGGGGGTTCAAACACCCCCCCCCCTCCCAGCACGGCGCGGGTTAAAGAACCTTTTTACTGTAATAATTATTGACTCACGAAAGTTATGACATTGTTTTTTTCAGTACTGTGCTCCTCTCGTCGAGATGCGTCGAATGAACTAAAATTTGACATTCAAATGTCATTGGGGAAATTTGAGCTCAGGTCCAGGTCATGCCCTGACTGGTAAAGGTCATGTTGCATATCAGTCGATTTGTATCGTCAAACTGAAATCATCTAAGGTGTTTTCATCGCTCAGGCATCCCAGCCAGCAATTCGTCCGGGATGCGGTTGGGGACGGTCGGGATAGGCTCCGGATGTCCCGACTTGTCCCTACCGGGTTGGGTAGGCTTGGGTTGTCCCAATCGATACCGGACCTCGATGGCCGGCGGTAGGGGCGACTCGGGATTTCCGGACCGCATGCTTAATCGGTTGGGACGCGGTACGGATAGCCCAATCGAATCCCATGTTTAGACAGGCTTGTGATTTACGTTGTTATCCCAACCGATCTGAGAAGGCGCTTCGGGCACCATATCCGGTGGCCCAGAAAGCCTGGAAAAGCAATCAGATGGGCCGCGTGCAGGCAGACGCGTCCTCTGAGCGCAGCGGCCAGTCTAGCTGCCGCGTTGGTCAAGTGTCGATCCCTCCTTTGAGCTGCTGCCTTAGGATATTACTTTTGAACTGGCTCTAGCAAGCGGTCGGTTCAACTGTTGTCGTTGCAGGGAAATCAGTCCGTCTTTGAGAACAGGGTGAGTATAGTGCACACTTCATCCGTGATGTAGGGAGCGGGAAAGCTATAGGTAATATAAATTTTAAGTTCGTTGTGGTTGTACGGCATGTGAATTACACTCGTGCTGTCGCATATTTGATCAGTTATCATGGCATGGTGTGTCAAAAGTGGAAATAGCCGCCCGGCTTTAGTTCGCCAGCCTTGTCAATAGATGGCAGTACCACAATATGGGCAGTGGATCGTGCAATTGACGTCAAATTTTCGTTATCTGCTAAGAATTGAATGGCGGATCTTTTCATGCAAGAATCATGTAAATCGGTCCACAACTTTTCTAGCAACAGAGATATGAAGTCAAACACCCTGCCAGAGCGGCGGCGCGCGGCCGGCGGCGGCCGTTACGCGCCGCCTGGGAGACTGGCGGCGCTGAACGGTTCCGACTTGGCACTGCACTAAAACCTGTTAACGGCTTGGAATGGTTATTATAGCAAAATTTTCATTCAAGTGAGGGATAACCAAGGGCAGGAAGTATGTATGCTTGTGTGCGTACTGTGTAAGCCAAGAAACTGCATTAGCAGATACTCGCTAATATTAGATCCAGCCAAGTCCAAACGCATTCCAGGGGATGTGTTCCTGATGGGTCAACAATATTTATCGTTCGAGGGCGGATACAGTTTTAACAATACAAAAAAATATTTTTGCACAACTCTATTCCTTGAATAATTCTCTTCCACGCCTCATTCCTAGTTAAGCGAATAAGCCCACCCTGGTTGAATAAATAAGGCGATTTCGCCACAAGGTCGCGGAAAACCGACCGAAAACGGCCGCGCTCAGCGTTAATTTGGGCATGCAGACTCTTAAATACTCGCATTGGGCGGGTAGGGTTTCCCAGGTATTGGCTCCAAAACACCGTATTCGGCTCCCGAATACGTCCAAGTGACCCGCGTCGTTCCTAGTTAAGCTCTAATTAGATCAAGTGACTCATAAGGAGCGAAAAAGCGACAAAAAGCATGAATTTCCCAATGGCGGCGGGCTGCCGGGTTGCCAGACGGCGCACCGGCTATTTCCACTTTTGACACACCATGGACAGAAGATGTTTGGTCTCATTGTCAAGTGTCGTTGGTTGCATTGTAGGTTTGAAACCTGAATTACCAGGCATACCACGTGAAATGTCAGATGTGGGTTATTTCTTAGTGATTTTTAGTGTCTCCCAGACTTTGATTAATTACCTCTTGGTCATTTTCAGATGCTCTCTTCGCACAGTGGACAGTGGTGAACCGCCCGACCAGATGCCAGCCGTCTACATAGTTTCGCGGTGGCTCTCTGAAGCCCGTGACGGCACACGGACACACTGTCCGCAGAGGAGCCGACACGAACAAGGCGCAGGCCTGCTATAATGACTGTGAACACCGGAAGTGAGTCCGCTGTGCCAGCGCCTTGCAGCGGCGCTAAGATGCTGGCCGACGCCATGAATGTGCTGGCCAGGCTGTGAATTTGTAAAAATTTGACCTGTGTGCAACCAGTAAATTTGTGAATATATTTCAGTGTCCAATGTAATTCATTTTGTCGTGCAGGCATTATAAAGATTGAATTGGAGAATAATGAAGAGGCGAGGGGGTTGCGGTGGCGCAAGCAAAGTGGTCGCATCTGCATAACAGCAATCTGCGGTTATAAGACTGCGGTTAATATGTCAGATACCTGCGGTATTCCCGAACCGGCCGTGCGGGCCGAGTTGGGACATCCCGATCGGGATCGGAGTTCATCGCTTGTTAAAATGCCATAAGGCGGTTCGGATGCGTGCGGGATTTCCGAACCGGTTGTGCGGGGAGATTTGGGGAATCCCGATCGGGATCGGAGTTAAGCGCTTGTTAAAACGTCATAAGGCGGTCTGGATACGTGCGGGATCTCCCAACCGACCGTGCGGGGTAGGTTGGGATATCCGGACCGTTCCAGCCCGTACAAAGTGTCTCATTTCCCAATCCTGTCCCACTCCGGTCCCGATCGGGGTGGTGCGGGCTGAGTCCGAAAATCCCGATCGGGAACGGAGTGGGATTGCTGGCTGGGATGTCGCATGTCTCTATCAGAAGTTATTGAAAAAAACTGCTGGAGGCCTTCCATGACCTGACATGACCTCAAAGACATAACGAGGGGTCGTGGGTGGCAATTTTCCGATTAAGTGTGTCATTTTTAATTGTTTTATGATGTTTAAATTCGTTAACTTTGACATTTGTCTACCTATAAAAAGAGCCATGCATGCCCTGATTTTCTCCCATTTCCTTATACCTAATGGAAGGGTCGCAAAATTGTCCTCAACATAGCAATTTCGAGACTTACATTTTATATATACAGTTACACACTGTTTGTCTTATCAATCGCTGAAGTTATAAAGGAATCGTTCAGTCGGTGTATCGGCCGAGCCGGAGAGAAAGTTACCGAGTGAAGGTCATTCAAATTTCAAAAACTCAATGAAAATGTCACTGGGGTCGAAAATATTTGAGTAGGTAGGTATACCATTCATTAACTTGGGGGGGGGGGGTGAACGTATCGTTACAATACGCTGTTCATTACGCGAGTAACTAATGAATAAAAAATGTATGAGTTCATCCTTACTCCACCCGTTCTCCCTCTCCATAAAAAAAGAGAGTTAACCCGCGCGGGGCTGGGGGGGGGGGTAAATTTTACCCCCCCTCGCGAATTTTTCCGATATCTCAAAAACGGCGGCGCGCAGCGCCGCCAAACTTTCAGTACCTTTTCTTACATCAATTTGACACGTTCCCTGAAAATTTGAGCGAAATCCGTCGGAAAATTTTTGAGAAATTGACGTTTTAGTGACGTCATGTTCGCCATTTTCGCCTCAAAAACGGCAAAAGTTCAAACGCCGCTAACATCTTCATTTTTAAAGGAATCAAGACGTAACAAAAAAGGTTATACGTAATTTTACTTTGTCTATCAAATGGCTATCTCGGTTTTTTGAAAATTTTGGATTTTAGCCTAAATTTTTTCAAAAAACTGACTTTTTTGGGAAAATCATTATAAAATCCAAAATTTGGAGTCTATCGAAAAAACCGGAATATATGTCAGAGAAGTGGTCTATGTGCACCTACATACCAAATTTT